TTAGTAACCTTGGCTTGCATCTGGCTTCACTGTGCTGGGTGGACTCGGGAAAATGACAACAGGATGAAGAAAACAGCAGAGTGCCTTCCTTCTGGAGCTGACCGAATAGCAGGGAAGCATGGATTGGGACAAATACGCTCCTTGGTGAACAGTCAATGTCATCCCCAACTGGTGAGTGCTGTGCCGAAAACATACAGTTTGCTCACAGAGTGAGAAACGCTAGCTTCTGGAGGATTCCGGAAAGCTTCTCTGAGGAAGGGACATTTGAGCCAGGATCTGAAGGACAAGCATTAACCTGCTTTAATGCACCTGGCATTAACCAGGTGCAGAGACCCCAGCAGGGGAGTGGCTGGAGGGAGCCTCGAGCCACAGAAAGGACCTGGTTGTGTCCAGAGAGCACTCAGACTCCACTGGAGGACACTGGACTTGGTGCACGGATGACACAATAGAAGGGCATCCTTAGAGGGCCATCGAGGTGGCTTCGAGAACAGACTCCTGGGGACGGGAGTGGGGTGGAGAGGCTGTCGGCTGAAAGTTGGGGACAGTCAAGGATGTGGTGAAACCTGACGGGTCCCTAAGTACTCAGACGTAAATGTGGGACACAGGGACACGTCCGGGTTGGCTCTGGGTGATGAGATGGATGACGGGGCTGTTGGCTTACGTGGGCGCAACGGAGAGGGCCAGCTTTGGGGTCATAAATCCCATGGGTTAGACGCACCAAGCTTGATGCTGAGACGTCCGGGTGGAGAGGAGCTGGTGCACCTTGCTTCAGCGAAGGATGCAGCCAGTGTCGCCCCTCTGCACTCCCCACAGCACAGGTGGGATAAGCTCCTAGTGCGGCCATGCTAATCTAGAAACAGTCCCCACCCCTTCCCTCATCACATGGCTGCCCCGTTTCATGGCGGGCACTCAGGAGGGGAAAGAAGGGGCAGCGCTCTGGCCGAGTTCCAGCCCATCCCGCAGGTGGTGACGCGGCGGCATGCAGGAGATGAGCACCCCGTGCGCGACAGACAGTACTCAGCAAGCACAGCCTCCGTTGTCCCGAGGAAGTGTGCGGGGCTGGGCTCTCTGTGAGGACACGGGGTGGGTCTATCTCCCACCGAAGGGGCCCCTCGCCCTGAGGTGATCCATCTGTATGGAGCGGATGTGGGCAGGCAAACCTGTTGGTGGGGAAAGAGGAGGCTGCTCGGCTCAAAACAGCAGGATGTGCAGCGCCAGGCTTGCGGTGTGGTCTGCGCCCAGGGACCATGGTGCTGGCTCTTTGTCTGGGCCACCTAGGGCCACTGCTGGATTATTCTGCCTGCTGCACCACCACACAAGCTCGTTCCCCACATGGTTCCAGAATCAGGGCCCCTGAATGTTGGTGCGCTCAGGTCCCCCGTCGTATGGGAGTTTGTTTTCCGTGTGCGTGGAAAGACTTCACAGACTGCTGTTGTTAGTTTTGGTCCCACCACGTGGCAGTTAGCGGAGCAAATCGCTTCTCGGTATCCATACTTCAGAGAAGTCCCATGTGTCTGAGCAGCAATCCCCCTTCTTCCTTTGAAGTGTTCTGAAAGGCTGCACAGACAGCCACAGGGTCTGGCACACACAGCAAGGGGCTCCTCCTGGGCCGGAGGGCAGATGAGAGCTGCCCCCCCAAAGCTCCCGAAAATACGATTAATGGATCTAAGACAGGCTCTCATAGCTCAAATCCCTAAACAGCGGATGGCACCTCCGGCGTTTCATAACTTTACAATGACCGCTCCTAACGAATCGGAACATATAATTAAATGTTTGTCTGATAATTTAAGGGATCATTCCAGGGCCCCTGGCTGAAGAAACGCCCTGCTTTTTGGTTCTCCCCTCTCTGGCTGCTCCAACTTTCCCTGTCCATTCTCCCCTGATCTAAGCTTTGCAAAAAATGCCCACATGCACCTTCTTCATTGCTTTTTTAACCCCCTGTGAAAACTTCTGAGACCTCAGTATGTCCGGGAACATTTCAAATGCCCCGAAGACTGTAGGGGTTCCGGGCTGGGCAGCAATCACGACACAACTGGCAGGGGGAGCCACAACCATCCTCAAATGACGCCCAGTGTGTTGACGACACGGGACGGGCAGTTTGGGCAGAGGGCCAGCAAGTGAAAAACACAGGTCACTGCACCTTTTATTTGTCATTATACAAACTGATGAGACACGAAACACACTCAACTTGTCAAAACAGTCTCAATGCCTTTCAAAATCCCACGGGACGTCACCGACGATGCGGTCTTGGGCTGAGAAGCCACGAGCTCTACGCCTTCGGACGCTGTGGCGGGAAAGAACGCGTAAGGTCCATGACTCTGCCCCCCACACCTGGAATTCTCCAAGGCGGGCTCCTGTCGGGCACAGTGAGGTGGCGCCCGGCAGAGGTCATGTGTCCCCCGCGAGCACCGCTCCGGAGACCCAGTCCCCTCCTTGCCACTGTGGCCTGGGATCCAGCTCCGCGAGATTCACACCGTGAAAGTGACACGGAACTATACAACTTTACAAATCCACGGGTCACGAGTAAGTTCCCGAGATTTCTTAGAATAACCAACATGGACTCACAGAGCTTGGTGGCCACTCCTATGAACACAGCTGTCCATCTGGGATCGGTCGAAAATTTAAACACTTCCCATCAGTAAACAGGGATGTATGCGCAGAACAATCTACAGTCGGGGACTCTCTTGGCTGAGTGGCACTTTTTTTTTTTTTTGCTCCCCAGTCCCTTGTATGCAAATTCATAGCAATGGTTTTAAGATGACAGGGACCTATTTTGCCTCCCATAGTGACCCTATTAAGACCAAGTGTGTCTACAGAAAACTCAGGAGTGAATCCGATTTTTATTCAGAGTTCTAACTGATGGTTACACGAAGGATCGTTCCACTGGTGTGTGTGAAGGAACAGTGGGAGGGTACCGGGGCCACACAGCCTACACGAGGTGCTTCAAAAACATTTGATGCATCCTTACTCCAGGCACGAAAACAATGTCTTTAAAAAAATAAAACTGTGATTTAAAAGGCCTTTATTACATGGAGACGAGGAGTAAGAGATAAAGGCTAACAGAGGGTTAATCGTGTTTGTATTTTTACTTGGTCATTCACCCTTTCTATGCTGTAAGAGCAAAAAAAAAAAAAAAACAACTGTCAGTGATTTTTTTAAAAAAATATGTTAGGAACCTTGGTGCTCTTGATGACCCCGTGGGTACCCAGACCATTTATATTTGGAGAACGAAGACAATATTTTAGAAAATATATCACTCCTAGCCCAAGTTCATCTGATGAAACTATTGTGTATAAAGCAGTTAATTATATACATAAATAACATAAAAATAATTATCATAAATTAAAAAGTCAAATAATCTCCCACTATGAATTCAACCGCCAGGTAGGAGACAGAAGTGTGACTGAGCTGTGTCTGGAGACCCTCTTACGTACCGCATGTGTGAGCATCTCCGTAGTTCTGAAGGCATGCATTGCACGAAACAAATTCTAGCCCTAGCCTCAGAATCTTGCTACTCGGAATAAAGTGAAGTGCTGGGAAACCTGCATTTTGCAGAACGAATCATCCTTAGCCTCACCGGCAACACAAGATTCCTCCGGCCTATGTATCCACTTCTTGACTCCTTGTTCTTTCTTCCACGTGGATCTCCCAAGGAATATAGGATGCACGACAAAGAGTGAGCAAGGCCAGAATAAGGCAAATGTTATGATGTCATTGTGGACAGCGTTACAAGGTATCAGGAAGGTAAACACTGAGCCTGTGTCCCTGGCTGAGCAGCAGGAGGGCGTGAGCCTGGCCCAGCGCCTCTGACAGGTGCCCACGTGCGTGAAAGCGCGTGTCCCAGGGACGGAGACGTGGCTGTTACTCGGCACGTTTGTCCACGAAGGCTGTTCACGCTTCTCCTCGTGAACTAACCTCTTCTGCTTTCATTGCTGCCTGGCAGGAAACAGCAGTACGTCTGTACTTCAGAAAAACCTCTATTTTCCTGCTGTGAAGAGCCAAGCTCGTTCAACATTTTTCTAGAACACTGGTCTTAAAACACGTCAACCTTTGGAATTCAGTTGAGACAGAAAGAAAACGTGAATTTCTTCCCTGTTCTTCGGTGGGTTTGGCTGAGCCTCAGCCGTAATAAATATATTTGGCTGGCAGAGGATCCTGAGCAGCTCTGCAGGAGCCGCCGGAAGGGACTTGTCACACACGGTGCTGTGTCCCTTGCGCTCGAGAAGCCGCGCAGAGCTGCACGCGGACCAACATTCCTACAGTGCAAACGACTTCAGCATGTTAAAAATCAAAAACAACATGGCCACGACAGTCTTGAATACATAACACAGGCTTGAGATAAAGTAAAAAAAAAAAAAAAATGATACAAAAAATCGATCCATGTTATGTTACAAACACGCCTCTGAGGCCCGAGTCAGCGACCTCAGGGACCCCTCGCCCGGAACGAATGCGCCCAGAGGGTCGTCCACGGCCACACTCACATATCTTCGGCCCAAAGTTGTATAACCAATTTGACTCAACTCAAATTTCAAAGAAAATAAACGTCACTTTAACGTCTAACTGCTCACTCGCCAAAAACACCCAGAAGCGAGAAATCGGAGTTTCCTCGTGGCGCACTACCCCGTGGGGATCCTCACTGCACCCCCCCTTGTGGTAACTACACCCTGAAGGAGGCAGGCGAGCCACTGTGTCCCTCCTGACATATCACTCGCCCGTTCCCGCTTGCCCCACTTTCCCAGAGCCCGTGTCCCCCAGAGTGAGTTCTGCTGGGCACGGGCCGCGTGGCTGGCACGTGCGGCCACCTGCCGGGGGTCACTCGAGGCACGCCGACAGACTGCGATGCCGGGCGGGGGATCTGGACAGAGTTCTGCAAAGCTAAGTCAACCTCACATTGCCATAATGATTTTTTTTTTTCTCGGTTTGGTATCCAGCAAACGAATCTCAAAAATAAAAAAGAACACCCGTGCGTCGGTCTCTGTCTGAGTTCTGTGTCGCGCGACTCAGTAGCTGTACATCTGCTGCTGGGGCTCGGCCTGCACCTGCGGCGGGGGCACCTGCGGCGGGGGGGGCGCCTGCGGCGGGGGGGGCGGCAGGACGTCTGTCTGCGGCACCGCACGCCATGTGAGTGGGTGCTGGTCGCCAAGCTGGTTCCCCAGGGGCGTGATAGAGTTGACCAGCGTGGTCAGATTGATGAAGTGGGCCACGGACTGCGGGTTTGAGGCTTCTGGCTGGGGGTGGATCTGGATGTCGTTCTGGCGGTTGTGCAACATGGCAGAGCCGCTGACGGTGTCAAAGGTCACGGTCAGGATGGAGTTGTCCAGCTGCAGCTGGCGCTCCGGGGTGGTTAGGTGCCCAACAGCCACTGGCTGGAGATTGGTAAACTGAGTCCCAGCGGCGGTGGTGATAGGGGTCACGGTGATGTTGGTCAGGCCCACTGAGCTCGATGGAGTGGTCACATTTGGGTCACCCAGGGTCACTACCACCTGCAAGGGTCACACACAATGCAGGACCATTAATAGTCTGCAGAACAGCCAACCGCAGAGCCTTCTGCTGCAGGAACCCCACGCCTGGCCCCTTGCCTTGCCCGAAGGAAGAGAGGAAAACGTCTTTCGGTGAAGGATTAAACCAAGTTAGTTTTGTACCAGAAAAATAATTCTAATGAAGCAGAGCAGTAAGATACAAACAGGACCACAGAGCCACTCGCTGAGCCGAAAAACAAAATATCTCACGGGCCAGGAAAAAAAACAGAGGAAAGTTAACAATAAGGAAGACAGAAGAAGGTGCGCTCTGCGTTTTCCGGTTGCTCCTCTCCCGCACCTTGTCGCTGGCGAACGAAAACCCCAACAATCAGACTACAAAGAGCAACCCCCACGTCTGCGGCACCAGGAGTGAGAAAATCCAGGAGAAGCAGCATCTTCTCCACGGAGAGGAAAGAACGGCCAAATAAATGCAAGAATGTCTATGGTTACGATTAGCGCCCAAAACCAAGTATGAGACACACGTCGGTGAGAGAATCGTGAGCCTCAAAACCAAAGAGAGCGAATCGGAGGCTTCCGTTAAAAGCAGCAGACGGGCTGCCCACGTGCATCTCTGCTTCTGCCGACTCCCGGGACCTCGTGTGTGACCTCACCAGGGGCAGATGCAGCGGGCCCCACTCCCACGCTAAGGGGACACACGTGGGCCACTTATAACTGCAGAAACCACCCGGTTCCCATGTGGGCGGGGGCGGCTGTCCTGCACAGGCGCCACGGTCAAGCCGCGATTCACAGTGACAAGTGTGACCTCTAGGTCTGAGCTGGGAAGTGCGTCGCTGACTCTGGCTTATGGGAGAAGTGCCCCGTGTAGTGCCTGCCACCGCGGGGCCCCGGCCAGCATCAGCATGTCCACAGGGGTACAGGTGGGGTCCCCCCCCACCCCACAGCTGCTCCCCATGGATGCCCCGCCCCCGCAAGAAGGGAACCACCTGTTGGATGCTCTGCACCGCGGAGTCGGTTTCGTCCCCCACGCCTGACAGCACGGGCTCCTTCTCCGAGTACTCGCTGAAGGTGGCCTCCTCTGGCCCCGGGGCTCCCGCTGCCTCCACCTCCGGCTTCTGCTTCCTCTTGTGGGCCCTCCTGGCAGCTTTCACGTGCTTCCCCTCGGCCAGATCTTCCTGCTTCAGACTCAGTTCAGGCTGCAGGAACACAAGTTTTGGCAACATCCGGATCACTGGGCTGTGTCCCCACTGTGGCCACAGAGGTCCCAGCACGGTCCCTGGACATGGCCCCAAGGAATCAGAGTGACCACGGCACGTCTGCTCACATGTGCTTCCAGAGACGGGGCATGTTCCTGTTGGATTCACTTTCTTTCAAAAAGTGAAGGAAATTACATATAAGTCATATTTTTAAAAGCCACATTTTGTGCTGGAATGTGAACATCTCTAAAGATACAGTTTTGATGCCCATTTTAGCTCTCGTGAGCTCAGCCTGAGGCTGAAAATCCATTCATGCCTGTGCTCTTGTCCCCAGGCTGAAGCAACTTTACGAGAGAAACGGCCTTGGATCAGAATGGGTTTGACTACAAGAACATTACATCATCTCCTTTGGGGACGACTACCGTGCCTGGCCAAATCGCAACCCCGGACAGGTGCCCTGTACACTTCTCTGCCCGTCCAGGGTATACTGGTCACGCTGCAGCGTGACCACATTTCCAGAACCAGGCCAATGCCACACCTGAGCTGGGTGTCAGAGGCCATCCTGGTCACCAACCACGCCTCTGGGCCTCCTGTGCGATCCCACAGGGTGAGATCCCATCCAGCAGCAGACAGACCCAGAGGAAGCCTGCCAGGGCGAGGCCATCACGGGACTGCCCTCGTAGGGGCAGGAGGTGGGCCGTGGGCGTCTGGGGCACTAGAGAGAGAAGGGGACAGGCCTTCTCGTGCTCACTCACTACAACCCAGCACCTGAGCACTGTGCTCAAAGCACCGTTCCAAATACAGAGGTGTGACTGTGATTTTACAGTAATCGAGAGCATGACATAGTCCCTTTACAATAAAACACCATTTTTATGAAGGCATTGGCTTAAAAGTTCTTTAAAAACTAAGTTCATCTAATAAAGTTATTTTAGTTAAAACAATCTAGTTATGCTGAGCTTTTATGAAAACCACCTGTGATAACTTAATTCTATGTGTTAACATGGCTGGGCTAGAGTGCCCACGTGCTTGGCTGTCCAGCAAAGATGCTGTGAAGGTATTTTTTTAGATGAGATTAACACTGTATCAGTGGACTCTGAGCAAAGCAGATCACCCTCCATATCGTGGGTGGGTCTCATCCAATCAGTTGAAGGCCTTAATAGGAAAGCCTGAGGTCCCTGAACAAGAGAGAATTCTGCTTCCAGCTCCGTACAACACCTGTTCGAGCCTCCCTGCCCCAGGCCATGGGCCTGCTCGGTGCATACCTGGACGATGCCAATGGAGGAGGCATCGATGGTGGTGGTCTCTGGGAGGTGGTCCAGGTCATCAATCCTCACAGCCAGGACCTATGGGTGAGTACAGGTGATGAACCCAGGATGCTGCGCCGGCAACCGACTCTTGTTATTTCTCATGGTGCCCTGAGAGGGTTCCCGGCCCGGTTCAGCTCAGGACCTACGCTGTGATGCTCACAAAGGACGCGGAGTGAAAGTGGCCGGGTGCCACTGATGTGATCTCACCCACTGTCGCCAGCACCTCATTTCCACCTCCATCGTCACCATGACAACCATAACCACCAGCACCACCTGTATCGTCACCGTGACAAGCATCGACGACCCTAGCCGCACAGCCATGCTCATCAATGCCACTACCGTCACCACCACAAATACAACCAGCACCAGCACTTCTATCCCTGCCACACACACACTCACACAGCCAGGCCTCGTGAGCACCCGCAGCGCAGCCCACCCAGGGATCCCTCCCCGCCCCCCACCGCCACCTTCTCAGCTGCCCGGGGTCACCTCCGTGACATGTGATGTGTTCCTTGTGACTACTCTCAGCTCTCACCTACCTCCTATTCTCCCCCGTCTCCCACCCTAGACTGTCAAGTCCGGGAGGGCAAGACGCATCCTGTACGCCTGGGTCCCCAGGGCTCACCACCAGTGGCGGCTTCACACGTGTGTGTCTGAACAACACAGAATGACACGAGGGTGAAAGGATCCAAGGGAATGGCCCCAGCAAAAGAGGCCGGAGCCTGGAGAAACAAGAGTGGAGAAGAGCCACAGCCACGTGTCCTCTGCCCTTCGTCCGTGAGCCCTCCCCTCCCAGCACGCTTGTTCTGCCCGGTGTGGGCGTGCTCAGGGGGCTCGTGGCGAATGCCGCCCCCACGTGAGAAGCAGGCACAGGAAGCTAACCTTGCAGAGTGATCAACCCGTTAGGGAATGCTCTCCGACCCTGCTGAAAGGACTCGCCGGACAGACGCGCTCACTGAGCACCTCCGTGCTGGCCGAGGCCCCTCTCTGCACCCAGCTATGTGTATCACGCGTCCGGGCTGCAAGGACCAGCTTACACGCTCATCGTGAATACCGGTAACTACCGAAACTCAAACAGCAACAGAGAACTCGCCCAAACTGCAGACTCACCACGTGGGGGCCTGCAGCGCCTGCCCTGGACCCTGAGACCCGGTGTCGCGGCTGGCCGACAGAGTGGGAGGCTTGGCTGGCGGCTCGGTGCTGGTAATTTCAACACCAGACACCACACGATGCCGTCTTCTGTTCCCTTGCGTGACCACTTACTCCATAGCGCGGAGCATCGCATACACACGTACAGCATGTAGGACGCACTACCACGGCCACTCACACGTGTATCTTGAACCCCAAGCACACTGCTATACCGTAGCCACACTGCTCCTGCTGCAGGGAGGGGTCCAACATGGCCGTGCTGCCGCCAGGAGGACGTCAGTGACCAGGGCACAGCCCCCAGCCAGCCAGCACTGTCAGTCCGATCTAACAGTCTCTGGCCGATCCAAGAGACGAAAGATGGCATCCTCGGTTGGCACTCGCGTTTCTGGGCCTCGGGGAGGTTGAAGGCTTTTTTTGGGTTTTAACCTTGTATGTTTTCTCTGCACGTTTGTGCAAGCTCTGTTCCTCGAGTCTCCCCCTCAAACGGCTGTCACCCTTCCTCCCGACAGCTTAGATCAGCTACCGATAGGAAGGCCGAACACCTGCGTCCGGGCTTCCTCTGCTCACCCACCGGGCCTACAGTGTCCCGACTGGGGTACTCCTCTGCCAGGCAGACCGATGGATGCTTTCGTCCGTGACTTCTGCCCCCAAAGCGATCTGACAGCTACGGACCCATGTGTTTTTCTACTTGTGTTTTTTACTTTGTTTCTCTTTAAAGTACGCGAATTATTTAATGCCCCGGACCTTCCTCTGGAACACACGGCCAGGCGGGCAGGGTCGGCCTGCCTCTGAGCAACTGCTCCCCCCAGGGCTCAGACCAGCCTCGGCCCCCACGGCACTGGGAGGCCCCCGTTCTGTGTCCCGGGTCAGCCACCCCAATGGGAAGGACGGAGGGAGGGGACCAGGGTTGTGCTTCTGTTTTGCTGTAATTCCAATGAGAACATAACCTGTAACCTCAGCAAAAAATATGTTTGAGGCTCTCACTCATTCATTCATTCATTCACTCATTCAGTCATTTGCTCGGCGCCTCCCAGGGGCAGGGGGAAGGTACGGCCCGGGCCCTGCCTCTAGGAATCCTGGCTCTGCAGAGGGGCGTCCACGAGCCAGTGCGGTAGGGTCTCTGAGGGGCGGGGCGCGAGGCAGGGAGGGAACGCGTGTGCCCGCCCCAGGCTCACCTCCGGGTGCTTGCGCCGTATGTGTCTGCTCATGGAGGCCCTGGTGGACACCTTGGTCCCGCACAGCTGACAGCTCTGCGCTTCCACCTTGTCATGGGTGAGCTGCACGTGCTTCTGCAGCATGTACTCGGTGACGTACTTCTTGTCGCACACGGAGCACGTCCACTGCTTGCCCACTTCCCGCACACACGGGGAGGAAGAGACAAGCACCGGTCACGAGCGGGGCCACCCCATGGCCCACAGGACAGGCGAGCGGGAGCTTCGCCCTCGGGCCGCACTGCGAGGGTCGTCTGCCCGGTCAGGCGGGGTGGGGACAAACGGCACAGGCCGAGATGAGCAGGGTGGAGGCCATCTCCCTCACAGAGCGTGACGCTGCTCCAGCATTTGGAAATTCGGGAGTGGACGTTTGAAAGTCCTGGTGGGGTGATTTTTAAGGGGCAAGGGGCCACCCGTGGAGGCAGGACAGACCAAATGCCCTGAAAAAGCCTGCACTGCGGAGCAGATGGACAGCCATCCCACCCCTGCACACGCATGGTGCCGCGCCTGCCGCGGAGAGGACTGCGGAGAGGGGCCAAGCGCCTCGCCTGCCGCCCCACTTACCTGTGTGGATGAGCTTGTGGGTCTCCATCGTGTTCCTCTCGCTGAAGGTCTTCCCGCACAGCTCACACATGAAATCTTTAATCCCTGCAGGAGAGAGTGTGCTAACCTCAGGGGCTCCCCCGGCCGAGGGTCTCCGTGTGTGCAGAGGCCACGGGGAAGGGACTGGCCAGGGGACCCCAGAGAGCAAGCGTTGGCTCCCACACTCAACCGGAGCATTGGGCGGCTTGGCGAGCGCCTCCCTCGGTGGGACTGGCGAGGCCACGGGCCCCGGGCCCTCCGTCCACTCCGCATAGGCAGAACCGATATGGTCAGTGTCGCTCGGCACCTGCATTTCTGCAGCTGCCCAGGGCTCTACTGGTTTCGCCCCAGACCCGAGAGCTCATCTGTCTCTCAGTCTGGGGGGGGGGGCGGGTCATCCTACCTGCCTACGGCCTGGCAAGCACGCATGGAGCTAGCAGCTGGGACCCCCACCACCCCCTTACAGACAAGAAGAGGACCCTCAGCATGCCTCGTAAACAAGGGTTTCCCCAGAAACGGAAACGAGGACAGTGACTTTGGAGGCCCACGGCGCTCGGTCCTGGGAGCGTGTGTGGAGACCCATGTGCACAGGGCCCTGGGCTCACCGTGGCTTGTGGAGGGACAGGCAGGGACAGAGGTGACCACACCCCAGCGGCCTGTGTGGCTGTGGAGTGGAGTGGGGCGGGAGGTGCCTCAGGACCCAAGCCCAGGGAGTGAGGATGCTTCCCAGAAAAGACGGCGTGAGTCTCGGAAGAGCTTCCCCAGGAAGAGGGCACCCGTGGTCGCCCAGTGGGGGGGCGCCGGCACGCAGAGGGGGTGGGGGGGACAGTGAGGGAGGTGGGCGCGCAGGACCAGATGGTGCCGCTCTCAAAACCCAGGTACGGGGGGTACACGGGGAACCACGGGAAAGAGGTTTCACACAGACAGAGCCCGTCAGCGGGGTAACCCTCCCTCAGTTCCCGTGTCCCCTGGTTCTCGCGCTCACACGCTTATCCACACGCACGTCTTTTATGAGAAAAGAGCTCATAGTTGTTGCTGTAGAGGCTGTTTTTTCCCGGCTGCATCACAAACCTCTATGTAAGTTAATACGTATCATCACTTTTAGCGGGTGCACTGTTGTTTCTCATGGACACACAGACACGTAAGACGTTCCAGCGTCTCCCGCCCCAGACAAAGCCGTGATGGGCGGCCGGCCCTTGGGTGATCAGTTCGTGGGCACGCGCGCGGGCGCACGGCTGGGTGCAAGGCACGGACCCTGCAGACCTGGGGGAGCTCAGCAAATGCCTCAGTGGCGAGCTGAGCGGGGACCTGGGCTCCTGCGCGCGCGGGCGGGACGCGGGGATGGGTGCTCGCAGGGAGGGGACGGTCTCTGACAGAGGCGGCTGCCGAGGACCAAGCGAAAGGAAGTGGGAAGCCACAGGCAGCTCTCTCCCCGCTCCCACTTCCCGGCTTCCTGGGCCACGGACTCACCCGTGTGCCGCTTGTAGTGCTTGAGCATGTTGACCTTCTGCGCGAACTTGCGGTGGCACTCTTTGCACTCGTACTCCTTGATGCCCTTGTGTAGCTTCATGTGGTGACGCAGCGCGTGCTTGGTCTTCATGCCTGCCGACGACGCACGTGAGCCAGCCCGCCGCCCCTTGCCACGTGTGCCGCCCCCGCACGCCCCCGCGGTGCCCCCGCCGCGCACGCCCCCGCCGCGCACGCCCC